AATAACAACGTGTAATAAAAATCAAACCCGCAAAATTATAATCTGCGTAATTACTGGTGATAGGACTTCTTGTGAGTCCGCACGGGTAGGTACACCCTGCCTATTTCTGCCGTGAAGCAGTAATGCGTTTCGGTTTTGAAGGGTGGGGCAGCCGTTGTAACTATACTTGAGACCTTAGAATTTATATCTGAAGGTGGGTGGCGCATTTACGTTGTAGATATCTATGGGCTCCAGTAACCACTTAACATCCATCTAAGCAATAAATAAAAATGCACCTCAGATTCCGATAACGATTTCTATCCTTATTTAAGTTCTAAACTAAGCCGTTATATTTGGGAGTTTTTTTTGTTTTGAACAACAACGTAATATTGTTCCATATAAAAAACCTTGACATGTTTTCACTTTTTGTCGAATCTTTCTTATCGATCATTCGATAATGTCAAAGAAATCTTTTATATTTCATTGAAAGTTTTCGCGAGACGTTATGTAGCCGTAGTTACGTGTATTTTAATACTGTTAAAGAATTAGATCAAATTTCACGCGGACGAACATTATCTTGTTAATTTCTTTCATATGTTTTAGTATTCACGAATAGTGGACTAATTTAAAATCGTATTAATTTGAATACAGATATAAGATATGATGATACTTTATTTTTTGTCTTAGATTACGATGTTTCACAGGCATAAGAAAGCCAAAGGCACATCCACGTCGCTGCCAACGGTATTTTCATACCTCGTTTGAAGATGCACTAATTTGTATGTGTATGTATAAAGCGATGTACTAACATATTTATTTATAACAATAAATAATCTGTCAAATTAAAATCAATTTAGCTCCTCTATTAATAATCTCTTTTTTGGAATACAATTAATTTGTATAGACAGTTTTGATACTTTTGTAGACAGATAAACACGGCCATCTGATGCAAGCATCCAGGCATTCACTATCCTTCACGGACATCATTATTGCCAAGAACACAGGCAAGCTGCTGCCCAGTGCTGTCTCAAACGTTGTTTAAAGAAATACATGTCATAGTCCTGGGAAAACTCCGTGGAGTTCATTATTTTTTTTTCATTGCTTAGATCGGCGGACAAGCTCAAGGCCCACCTGATGTTAAATGACTATCGGAGCCCATAGACATTTACAACGTAAATGCTGCCAGCCACTTTGAGACAGAGTTCTAAGGTCTCAGTTTCAACAGTACAACGGCTGCCCCGTCCATGAAACCGAAACGCATTACTGATTCACGGCAGAAACAGGCAGGGTGGTGGTACCTGCCCGTGCAGACTCACAAGACGTCTTACCACCAGTAAAGCCGAGAGCCGATACGTGGTGAAGAATCCCTGGAAACGCGCTGTGAATGAATGCAGCGATACCGGATAGTACAAAGTCTGCTCCGATCGCGGTCAGTTCCCGCACTTCAGTCACAAGTTTCGATCGCCTCTCCCGAACCGTGTTTCTTGAAAATATCTTATCGCCAATATATAGTTTATCCTATCATCCGCATAGGAATGCATGCGATCGATGAGCACGTCAGTAGAGAGATACATTTAAAAATAATTGACATCGGCTCATTCCGATTCGCCTGGACTTAAAAAAAGATGACTACTATTTATAATTTTTGAATACAGGTTGACCTTGTTCAGAAAATGTGATTCATTCAACTCGAATTTTAGACTCGTCTACGTATATATATTTACATTTGAAAAACTTTGTTTCTAATACGCGACTGTATGACTTATGTGCTTATAAATGACAGACGTTGTGTTTCCAAATAAATTATTTATGAAAGGTTTTGTATTGTTGCTACGTCAGTACATGTGAGAAATATTTGTTTACATTGTTATCTATTGTGTTTTAACGATTTGTAGTTTTTACTTATATAATATAACTGGTGGTTCAACTGCGTAATGAGTGTCTGTTACACAAGAGTTTGTAAGGTCTAGATTGGAATACTATCCTTTAATTGTCTGAAATACATTTTTAAGCAACCTGAAACGTGTTACCGATTCTTCGTCGTTGGCAGCTTCTTCCGTTTTTAAGTTTAGTAAGAATGGCGGGCCGGAAAAAAAATATTACTTAACAATAATAAACTTAAAAAAAACATGAGTCTTAAATAAAAACCCTTCGTAGAAGTTCTTAGATATTTCAAATTCAAAATGTATTAATATGGGTTGTCTATATTACTAAAATAGAAGTCTGTTGTTCACACAGATTTGTCGTCACACCCATTACGTAATAATATCTTATTAATCTTTTTATGTTAGGACATATGTTTTCAATATAGCTCTATAATTTTTAATATCATTTCAATTGTTCAAACATAGGTTTTATATTTTCATATCTATTTATGTCTTACTATATTTTTTTGTAATTGAAGGATTACTGGTGGTCCGAAGGCCTTTCCAGTTTGATCAGGACAGGTGAGCAAAGGCTCAGCCAGGAGGGGTGGGATTAGCTAATATCTACCCGAGCGCCTCCGAAGGAGACCTACCTACTCAAGAGCAGTTGCTTCGCGAATTAATCTACTATCGGATTGGAATCGCGACACGCTGAGAAGATCCAGCGAGAAACTCAACGGGCTGATGCATGGGTTCGGTTGCAGGTCGAACTCTTTGCCGAGTTCGACGAGTACGGTTACCCGGGTCCCTAAACCTTTCCTAGCTTTAGAGCTGAAGGCCTCTAATGCAAGAGTTATTGGATCTGATGGATCCGTATCTTGCTATACTCACAGTATTAGTTCACTGTTGTTTTTGCCTTTCATTGTAATTTTATTTTGTAAGTTTACATGCAAAAATAGCGCTGTATTTTTTATATAAATCTCGTTACAACCATCTGAATTAATAAGGAAAAGATGCGATATCCAAGACATCTGATTTTCTAAACAAGTTATTCTGTTAGTGCCTTCTTTGATTTCTCGATATGAACAGGTAAGTTCATAGCACGCACCAACTCTCCATGCGACATAAAGTCGATCGTATAATAAAATGGTTGTCCCACTCTTCAACCTGAACTTTGTCTACAGACATAACCCACTGAGTTTCTCACCGAATCTTCAGGCAATTCTGACACGTTAGTAGATTCGATGAAGCACTGCTCTTGTCAGGGTAGATGTTAGCAAAAACTTTCACGCTGATCCCAGTGAGGTCGACCACCAGCAACGATGAAGCCAGATAACCCCACGAGCATACTGGCGGTTAAGTAGGGGAAAAAAATCAATGGAAAAACAGTCACGTTTTTTGTGGCAAAAGTAAACAGGATCTTGCTCGGATTCAATAAATCGCGTCGATCGGTTTAAGCGCGTGTGCAAAATGTCATTAGTGCCAATTTAGTTTCGGTACTGAGCAAGTACTACTGTTCTACTACTAGTGCACTACACATTGTCAATAAAGTACGAAAGAAAGTTGATTTTTAGCCGTTAAAATGTAAAGCAGCACAATGTAACAAAAATGAAACTAACCCACAAATTCCGTTAACATTTTGAGACACATTCGTGATCTGAATACATTTCTTTTACATTTTATTGTTGCCATAGAAGACATTAATTTACAATTGGTTCTAAGGCTACCGTCATTGAAATGTGTACTTTTTTTTTATTGCTTAGATGGATGGACGAGCTCACAGCTCACCTGATGTTAAGTGGTTACTGGAGCCCATTGACATCTACAACGTAAATGCGCCATCCACCTCGAGATATAAGTTCTAAGGTCTCAGTATAGTTACAACGGCTACCCCACCCTTCGAACCGAAACGCATTACTGCTTCACGGTGGTGGTACCTACCCGTGTGGACTCCCAACAGGTTCTACCACCAGTGATTACGCAAATTATAATTTTGCGGGTTTGATTTTTATTACACAATGTTATTCCTTCACCGTGGTAGTCAATCGTGAACATTTTTTGAGTACGTATTCCATTAGAAAAATTGGTACCCGCCTGTATTTACACCAGGCACATCAATTTCCTACTATACTGTAGAGGAACGCAATGGTTTCAGGTATAAAAATGAACAGTGACAGATGATGGGAGAAAGATAATGACGGGGCTCTCTTTAACAATTCAACAGTTTTTTTGTTTTTTTATGATTGAAAGATTACTGGTGGCCCTGAGGCCTTTCCAGATCACCAGGACAGGTGGGCGAGCAAAGGCTCAGCCAGGAGGTGTAGGATTTGCTAACAACTGCCCGAGCGCCTCCGAAGGAGACCTAACAACTCAAGAGCAATTGCTTCGCGAATGAATCTACTACCGGATCGGAATCGCGACCCACTGAGAAGATCCGGCGAGAAACTCAGCGGGCTGATGCATGGGTTAGGTTGCACGTCGACCTCTTTGTTGAGTTCGACGAGTACGGTTACCGGGGTTCCTCAGCCTGCTCCTAGTGTTAGAACTGAAGGTATCTAATGCAAGAGTTATTGGATCTGATGGATCCGTAAGGACGTGTCTAGGGCGATGACGGTGACTTGCACCTACTCGGAGCATAAATTAATAAATTATTTGCAAAATACATAAGCCCATTGAAAAAACTTCAATGTATTTTATCTTCCATAAAATTCAAGTTGGCGGTAGAAATGCATTTCAATAGCAGCGTATGAATTCATTTAAATTTAAAATTATATGTAGAAGAAAAAGTCTAATGATTTTATTACTTAACTAAAACTTACGGGTTTTATTTTACAGGTCTTTTAATATAATATAATTTATTCTATTAATTTAAAGCCAAACGAAAAGTATCCTTCTTTCTAAGTCGTAAAATACATTTAATTTGATTACAAACTGCGCCATGAATATTAAAAGAAGTGAGGTTGGTCACTTGTGATTTTTTTACTATGAATTTAAAATTTGTAACGGATTATCTTTATGCCTTAAGCTCTCTTCAAATTCTATATTGAAATATTTGAGTTTCTCGAAAATCAAGTATCGGTACGTAATTATCGCCTCCTAATGATCGCTTACTTGAATCTGTCAGTTACAATTCATAATTACGATTCTTTCGCTCACCACTTACAAAAGTCTTGTGCTTCATCAAATAAATGTGTTTGTTTTTAAATTTATATAATGTCTTCTGTCATCACCGGCACTTTCACTTTAAAACAAATCGTAAGTTTCCTAACAGCTAAGCTAACAGATTTCTTATGAATGAAACCCGCGTTTATATATGATTTAATTCACTTGCTCAGAATTTGTTTATAAATAAGGTTGCGGTGTGGTTGCGCAGAGACGTCAAACGAACGGTAACCGGTACATAGTTCACGGCATACGACCGCACAGGAGAGGAGGCGCGGCGACACTGACTGCGTATCGACCTCCCGGCATGACAATGAATGGCCGGCACCGCAGTCTGCCGCTGCAAGCTCACTACTGCACTGCAGCTTTATTCTGGCACCCACCCCGACAAATGAAAACAATCATTTACCGAGCATCGTGCCAACGGCATAGGTGCGCGAGTTAGTGGCATCGCGAACCGCTGACCCGGTTACGAGAAGCTGGTCGAATCATTTTGGCATTCACGTCTCTCCGCGTGAATTGAATTATTAAATTTCCGAAGACAATTGAAGCGTAACGTCCGCGAGCACGCATGCGTGGCTTTTCATTCGTGGCTACATCAGCTGATTCTGTGACCTTGTTCCTGTTCTCCGCGCAATCCACTTGATTTATGACTCGCGACCTCTCTTGTAGGGAAATGATCGTTGTAGTTACGCAGTTCCGTTGCCAGCCCGGATTTAGACTTGAAATTTATGGCACATATCTACTATATCTTAGATTTTATTAGCTAAAAACGGAAGGTCTTACACGATGAACATTGTTTAGTTCAAATACTATATTTTTCTTCTAATCACTTCTGAGATTTAGTAATTGACGTTATAACGTGTCAATATTTGTAGTGTTTTACGGTAGGAGGTGGCGCAGCAGTGTCCATGGGTAGCAATCGTCAATTTTCTTTATTGCTTAGATTGATGGACTTCGTGTTCCCGGAGCCCAGAGACATCAACAACGTAAATGCCGCCACCCACCTTGAGACATGAGTTCTAAGTCAATTTTTTATAGGATAAAGGCCGCCCCACCTTTTTAACCGAAACACAATTACTGCTTCACGACAGAAATAGGTAGGGGTAGTGGTACCGTACGAACTCGCAACACGCCCTTACGATCTTACGCAAATTTTGGCGGTTTTGATTTAATTTACACGATGCTATTCCTATACCTTGGAAGTCGTTCGTGAACATTTTTTTAACTATGTACGTCTCTCATTAGAAAAGTTTGTACCGCGCTCGATACGAATCCATCACGCGTCTTATCCTTTAGGCCACGAAGATTTCAACGCATTAATTTGACATTGCGGGAACATGTGAATGAATATTAAATGAGTTTTTTTTTTATTGCTTAGATGGATGAACGAGCTCACAGCCCACCTGGTGTTAAGTGGTTACTGGAGCCCATAGACATCTACAACGTAAATGCGCCACCCACCTTGAGATATAAGTTCTAAGGTCTCAAATATAGTTACAACGGCTTCACGGTAGAAATAGGAAGGGCGGTGACACCTACCCGCGCCGACTCACTAGAGGTCCTACCACCAGTAATTACGGAAATTAAAATTTGCGGGTTTGAGATCATAAATACATTTTTGATTTTTGAAGTTATATACTTCTTTAGGCGCGTTATGAAAAATTGATGAGAGTTAAATTTTACGATGCGCGCGCACCCTGACACAAAATTAACAGAATGAAGTTTGTTGCCCACTAAATCGTTCATTGCAATACGACCGACGTATCTTGGCGAGTATGAATATAGCCGCAGGTGAACTTTCCGAACCGTACCGAGAATTACCGAATTTATACGATGTCAAGAAAAGGGATGTCCAATATGCGTGTTTGAGGATGTTGTTTAATCGATTTTTTTTCAAATAGATTAAAATTTAAATAAAAAAAAAGAAATAAATTTAATAAATAAATTTAATAAATAAAATAAAAAAATAAAAATAAAGTGTAACTTCTTACGCGCGTACATAAGTACACGCACCCTTTTTTATATTATTATTACTAAACGTGCTATAAACATTGTAGTGAACTAAAATGTTATGTTTTGAAGTGATTTAAACGTAAATAAATGTAATATGCAAACAGATTAATGTCCTATTATTCGGGACATATGTAATTTGGTCGATGTGACAACACCGTGTGGAATTCTGTATATCCATTTTCACTAGACCTTCAGCTTGGCATCTGAATGAATAGGGTGTGTAGACTACAGCTGAGCTCCAGAAAATCGGCTAAATCGCTGTAACAGTTACCGCAAGTGGCCTTGGAAGCGCGTGTGTGAAGCGTTTGGGTGTTATATCGGAACTTAGTAAAGCGACTAAATCGCTATAGTTGTTTCGTGGTAGCTGGTGGGTGGAGACCGCGCTCACGCGAGAACGTTGACTCCGCGCATTAGCCGACTTATTTATGTCACGTAAAAAAATAATATCAATTTGTCTTTCATATAATTTAATATGTCGAGGGAGCCCGCTCCTCAGCGCGACCGCTCACGGCTGGAGTCTCACAAGGCTCCGTCCTCTCTCCGCTCCTATACAGTTTATTTTTTAATGACATTCCATGGTCAGCGCTAGCCTTATTCGACATGAGCGTTTACTACTCGAGTAGAAACAAGTCCCTAATCGCGAGGAAACTCTAGAGCGCACACACCCTTAGGACAGTGGTTCCGAAAATGGCGCATAGACATCAACCCAGCGGAGGAATCTCACACCCCGATTACCCTCTTTGGCCAACAAATACCCTGGGCTAGGAAGGTCAAGCACCTGGGAGTCACCCTGGATGCATCGATGACATTACGTCCGCATATAAAAATCAATCCGCGACCACGCCACGTTTATTTTGAGTTATTAAGTCTGCTTTGGAGGCACTCGGGCAGCTGTTGGCAAATCCCACCCTTCCTGGCTGAGCCCTTGCTCGCCCACCTGCCCTGGTGAAACTGGAAAGGCCTCCGGGCCACCAGTAATCCCTAATTCATAAAAACCAAACCCAAAAATGTAAACGTTAAATTTTTATTCCGTTTCTGTATTTACAAATTAGGATTCCGAATTGAAAATTATCGCTGCAGGCTCTATAGAGAATGCTTAAATTAACATCACTACTCCAACAAATGCGTATTAACACAGGTTCTTAGCGTCGGAACACATTACTGAAAACACAGAAATTTCAATAAACCAATTTATACAGAATATTCCTTTCATTAAATCGTGAGTGGATCCAATCAGAGAGTAGTTTGAGATGACAGCCCGTTTACAAAAATACACTTTCAATTAATTCGCGCTTTTTCAAAGAACTGGTGAATCCCTCTGGCTGTTATTAAGAATGAAATGCGTTCTCAACAGCAGCTGAATTGTCTTGAGTAGTGAATAACCACAAGAGTGCGTACCGCGAGCTTAGAGAAAGCGAACTATGAAAGTTACTTCAAAAAATGACCTTAAATACTATTGATTTCGAGTAGTATTTTAAATTTAATTAATCTAACACCTACGTGTTGATTTACTGTGATCGAAAGGAAAAAACTTCTACATTATAATGATAAGTGGTAATAGTAATTTATGGACTACATATTACCACTCGTCCCTATTACAAGTCGTCGTGACCTAATGAAGTCGTCGTGGCCTAACGGATAAGACGTCCGATGTATTCGTGTTGAGCGATGCACCGGTGTTCGAATCTCCAATTTTTCTAATGAAATACGTACTCAACAAATGTTCACGATTGACTTCCACGGTGAAGGAATAACACCGTGTAATAAAAATGAAACCCACAAAATTATAATTTGCGTAATTACTGGTGGTAGGACCTCTTGTGAGTCCGCGCGGGTGGGTACCACCGCCCTGCCTATTTCTGCCGTGAAGCAGTAATGCGTTTCGGTTTGAAGGGTGGGGCAGCCGTTGTAACTATACTTGAGACCTTAGAACTTATCTCAAGGTGGGTGGCGCATTTACGTCGTAGATGTCTATGGGCTTCAGTAACCAGTTAACACCAGGTGGGCTGTGAGCTCGTCCACTCATCTAAGCAATAAAAAAAATGGACATCGACAATGCCAGTCAAATTTAGATATATCTTTCCTATAATACAAGTCAAATCTCATATGCAACATCATTCTAAGCCCTTGCCTTATAAGAGTTTATTTATAAACTGTTATCCAACACGCGATGTTCTCCGTGTGGTACCAGCGACAATCAGCGTCGAGAACAGAGGAAGCGCGCTATTCAGATAATTTTCATACGTCACCACTCACGGTCGCCGCGGCTAAATGAACCACGAAGGTTTAAATTTAGAATTGACTAGACGGGTCCCGCGATCCGTACCATATTTATTATATATTATATATTATTATATATAATATTATATTATATTAGTTCCGAAGTATCGAATACTTCACAGTATTCGTGGATATGGACGACTGTTTTAATTTTTATGTAAAACCAAAGAAGATACCACGGTATAAGCACGTGAAGCTCGACAGTATTTCGATATGTAATGCAAGAAAACGGAATAGTTTTATGCTTAAATGTAGTGATTTGAATATAAACTAACGAAGGGCATCCTCACGATTCATCGACGGTGCTTTTAGGTTTGTAACGCGTTCCCCTTATATATGAATATAAGGAGTATGCTCGGTTACACCCACCGGTAGCCGCAGTGGAGAGAATCTACTCTTAATGTATGTTTATCCCAGGGCGCCATATAAATTAAATAAAAGTTGAATTGCAGTCACACATAATAATATATTACATAAAAACACACACACACATATACAATTAATTTAAGAGACTATTAAAAGAGAAAACTAAAAATATTTAAACTAGACTACAATGTTCTGGTTATAAAATTAATTGAGGGCAAATACAGATTCTGCGATTGAGATGAAATAATACAAGTAAATACGTATCTTTCTCTGTGTAGGATACGGTGATTACGAAGATAGGATCCTGGCTCGATGTTATACCAGTTCCCTCGCGTCGGTCAGTACAGTACTTAGATCCTTTTACAATTCCGGGACATAACGTTCCACGGAGCGTATTCCAACATATACAATGTCACGATTTACGGGACTATTGGAACCCTATAACGTATGAATTATACATAATAATAAGTTCATGATACATTATAGTGCAAACATATATGTAAAATCAATGGCTTACCGATAAATTACATCGGGCACAATTTATATTAATTAGCAATTCGGTGTTACAGGTTTAGGTACTTCAAGCACCGGTCACCGTCCTCGTCGAACCCGTCGCTAGCGACGAAGACTCGACGAGTAAATTAATCCATAGACACAGCCCACTGATTTTCTC